GGGGGGGGGGGGGGGGGGGGGGGGGGGGGGGGGGGGGGGGGGGGGGGGGGGGGGGGGGGGGGGGGGGGGGGGGGGGGGGAGGTGACGAACACGGCAAGGTGAAAAAGACATCTCGGGTGCTGAAGGGTACGACACCGCTACGCCAGACGATGAACTGCCGGTGAACGAAGGCTGCCCGGCTGGCTGCTTCACCACCTTCGGCGTATGGCACAGATCTCAAGGCATATGAGCATACATCAGCAAATAAAAACGATTCTCGAGGGACACGACACCCCCACAACAAGGTGAGAGAATCACAAGAAAAAAACGTGCGCCGAGCCTCCTTTCTCACCTCAGAGGCGTTGATCGTCGCGCAGTACGCGGTCCACGTCCGGCGTGACCAGCGGTCGTGGCAGCACGTCAGCAGCGATGCCAAGCAGCGCATCTTCGGCAGACCGACCACCGCCGAGTGATTAGCCTGGATTCCATCGGGGCGAGAGCGGGGGGAAGGGGGCGTACTCGTGTTTACCATTGAGCGTGCGTCCTCGAGAGGACGGGCCTTTTTCCGACAGACAGATGGTGTGTGTGCGTGTGTGTGTGTTACCAAGCCGACTCGGATTGGTGATGGGCGGCAGCAAAGGTAGCGCAGTGGACTTGTTTGACGATCGCCCCAACCTGCCACCTAGAGCGTAAGGTGTTCGCCGCCCAGGAGCATGGGGCAAGCAGAGCAAAGGGACGAGGGAGGAGAAGATGTAGCCAGGGGGCCGCCGCCGCTGGTACGTCGTCGGCGAGAGGAGCGCTCGTGGAGGTTCCTTTTCCTCTGCACACACGCTCCATCTGCGTGTGATCCATCCATCGCCATGGCTCGACTACACCCCCGGGAACATAGAAGCATGCCACCTATTCGTTATCTGTTACTAGGAGGCTATTCTCGAGGAACCTCGAAGCCAATTCTCCTGCTGAGTAGTTCCACTACAGCATTACATAGATTGAGTTCACCCCATCATCCTACATCTCACCTGCGTGAAGATGAGGCGCTTCTTGTTGGTGAAGACGACACGGCACCGCTGGGTGAGATCGTCGAACAGCCCGGGGGCGTCTACCAGCCCGGCGAGGTCCAACGCGTTCACCACCTTCTCGCCCTTCATGAGCGTGAACTCGTGGAGGTCGTCGTGGGTGGTGACGCTGTCCTTGATCGCGTCCAGGTGCTTCGTGGCGCACTCGATGTCCCACTCCTCGAGGTCCCTATTGTGCGGTAGATACCAGGGCGAATCACAAAGGGCGGGAGGGGGTCCCGTATTCGCACAGGTAAAAGCGCTTCTTTGGCACACTCAAGACCCTGTAGAGATGTTGCTTGCTGTTGAGAGGTGGACGGGGGGGCGTAGTGACAATGTTGTCTTCGACCTACGCACTTTAGAGACCGGTTCAAGATTGCTTGGGTAAGCCGGTACCCCAACCGTGGCCACCCCCGTTAATGTGCCCGCATCGAACTCGAAACTGCCTTTGTAGTCCGAAAGCATTTCCAAAAGTTTGGAATCGGTACTGGCGCTCCTCGTTCACGGTACGGACTTTCTTGGGGGTAGACAAATCAATGGAACATGAACCAAACAATGTGGTCGGCACAACAATGCAACCCCCCGGAAGCTCGCGCTCGAGCGCACCCACCGGGATGCGCCTACGGTCAGGTCATGCATACGCACCGCCGGTTCTAGCAATCTTGAACATGCGTACTTACGCTGCCACGCCGCTCGTCATCTGGAGCATCTTCCGGCTGCTCGGATCAATCTGTGGCATTTTCGGGTCTAACCCAATTTGAAGGCCCTGCCGTTCGTGAGTTACGGCGATCGAGTGGACGGTCAGCGAGCCACAACAAAAACACACGAAACGAACGCGGCGTGCAGAGAGAATGGGAAAAAATAAACTTTGCTGTAAGGACCGATTGTGGGTCTGTTATGGAAGTACGCACAAAAACAATAGGAGTAGAAGTGCATAAGACCAAACAACAAAGTCAAGCACGAGAGGAATTTCCGCTCCCGCCCCTCGGCCTCCCCCGTGGACATCTACTCTTAACTCTTCCAAGGCCGACCGACCGACCCGCGAGGACGTACCGGCGACAATGGTAGGACAAAAACCGTACCCACAGGAAATCGACATGCGCGAACGCAACTACCGGCCGATGTGGCTGCTTTCTTCTGCCGCACGCAGGTGCATGTCATGTGTGATGAATGCGCCCTGCTCTCGTTGAACCCCCAGACAAAAAAAAACACACACATAGAAGAAAGCACGCGCGTGGCGAATATGCGCTGTGGTACATCAGTATCGGCATGCCCAACTACCTCTCGCAAGCAAGACGCACCAGCAGGTTCTCCCTCTCTCGGTCGAACTGGGCCGCTGTGAAAGGGTACTCGTCGGTGTAGAAGTACGCCTTGTCCACCTCCACCTCCGCCGCCGGAGCCCCGATGGCGGTGCCGCGAGCGGCGGTCTTCCGCGGCGGCGGCACCTCATACGCACGGGGAGCCGGCGCCGCCGCCGTGGCCGCATAGGTAGGGGGACCTTATGTCGCGGCGCTGCTGTCCCCGTCGTCGGCATCGTACGGCGGCGGCGTCCGGCGCGGGAAAGCAGGCCGGTTCATGTTGTTGGCGTCTCCGCCCCTCGCGCCGTCTTCAGCGGCGGCGGCCAGCGGGCCGCTGAACAGGCCGCCGCCTCCGAAGGTGTCTCCGCCGCCGCCGGACATCCTTCCATGGCTGCCGGCGTTGCTGCTGCTCTTGCCGGTGGGGTCTCTTGCGCTGTCGCCGCTGATGAGGTTGCGGACGGTCCGCTCGCCGGAGCCTCGGCCGCCGCTCTCCTCGTGCCCGCTGCTGCTGCTGTGGGATCTCCTGCCCTCCTGCCGTCGTCCATCGAAAGGGTCACACGCACGTTGCACGCACAGACGAAGAAAGTAGTAAGCTCCTGCATTGTTGTGATGGTGTTCTTGCTGTGCAACCCTTTGGCTAGTCGGTCCGGAGCATGTGCAACAGCTGGTGTTGTGTATAAAGAGTTGAACTGTGAAAACTGACGTCTAGAATAGATGTGGGATTGGCAACACAGACACACGTCCTGAAATATGAAAATCGGTAATCCGGTAAGCGCGGTCGGTGCTACTTCACGGGACACACTTTTTTTGGACCGCTCCAAAGCTAGGAAGTAGCCCTATCTCCAACCCCAACCCAAGCGACCCCACCGAAACCTATGGCATTGGACTGTGCTAGGTCACTGTACCAAGCAAGCCTACTAGGCCGCGCGGCAAGCCGCGGCGCTAGGTTGATGTACACCGTTAGGGCTACATAGGTTGCTGTACACGTGAAAAGCTGGATTAATTTACCGTCTGCGTTCTAGGTTGCTGCTGTTTAGGCTAAACCGCGGCGTAAGATAGGGTAAGGGCTATGTAGCTCGCTGTGCACTGTTAACGCTAGGTTGCTGGACGGTGAAACGCTGCAGTGCATGGGCTGCACCCACCCAACTAATGTTGCGAGTAATGTTAATCTGCTCGCCGCGGTAGTCTAGTTGGTACAGTCGTCCCAGCTTTAACGACACTTTTTTCAAAGACACTCCCCGCTTTAAGGACCCATATAATATCAAGAACACGGTGCCCCGCAGATGTGAAAAAGTAGGGGGGGCAGGGTTTTCCACCATTCGACCCCCCCCAGAAAATGTGCTTGTGCCGAGCGAGAACAACAGAATCTATGGAAACAATCCAAGGATAAGCAGGGTCTAGAAGTGTACGGGATGTTGAAGGAAGGAATAGGGTTCAAGGACTACCTACACGGACCAATGGAAGCAAGAACAAAGAGGTGAAATTCAGGACCGAGGACATAGGCCTTCGAGAACGTCGACGAAGACATAGAACGGTAGACGACGAAGACGACGAGTTCAAATGTGATTGCTGCTTCGAATGCGAAGACCGTGTTCATGTAGTAGCGGAATGTCCGTTGTACAAGGAGAGGGAAGTGTACGTGACTGAGCTGGGAAAAATAGATGGAACGTACGGGGAGATGTTGGAGGCATGGAACAGAGAGGAAAGAACGGTAGCTGTAGTGGGGCATAGGAGGTGGGTTGAAAAGGCGGGAAAGGATATCGTCAGGATAGACAGACTAAGGAAGACATTTTTGAGCCACCTTTGGCAAAGTAGAAAGGAGCGATTGGCCATCGGTGATCGGTCCTGTGGGAAAAATGCTCCGTCCTCTCGAAGACGCGTGGTCAATGGTCTAACCGCTAAGGCGTGCAAAACATAAGACTACGCCCCCCCCAGAAAATGTGCTGCAGCACCTGTAGATCCTGGATCATCAACAGCGGTCTGCTGCAGCCGCACACTTGCGTGTGGGTGTATGGAAAGATTCATTCCATCTGCTAGCGGTTCGTCTGCCGTTGGTGTTGTGTTGTGCCTCGTTTTGACCTTTTGGGAGGCGCGGTGTCCTCTTTGTCGCTGTGCTTTCCCGACATTTTTGGTCTCTGTGTTTCTGCGTAACCTACATTTTCCTAGTGTCGTTTGACAACCTTCGATATTTCTCAGGTGCGGTAGCGAGATCTTGGGCAATATATTCACGGGTAGGACAACGCCTAAAAAATAAAATGAAGCAAATGATTGAGACCATATCAATACCGGCGCACTACCGTCGTGTACATGTACGATGCGTAGGTCGTAGAACGCCATCACTTTCAGCGTTTTGGTGGTACAGTACGGGGAGATTCAAACGATGTTTTTTGTTTGTTCGTTTTTCTCCCATCATTGGACTCTGTCGACTGCCCCTCTGGCCCCTATCCTCCACTTCTACTAGCTAGACGACCCAACCGGGGTCACATAGGAGGGGGGGGTTGGACCCCCTCCTGCGGTTCATGCCTGAGGTATTTTTATCGCGAGAAGGGTACAGCAATCCGTTCCCTCGCGACTTACGAAGTCGATTAGGGTTTACTAAAAAACGAGCTTTGCAGCGCGTCGCTTTCATCCTAGACCAGGATTTATTTAGTGAGGAAAAAACTTTCTCTGCCGGGACTCGAACCCCATGACCTGGCCCTTAGCAGGCTGCGAGGCTACCCACTGGACCACCGGGGCGATGGTCTGCAAGTATGTATTGCAGCACAATAGCAGCAGTGGTTGCGACCTTCAAATCACCTTGTGTCGTGGGTTTCAAACAACACCTCTTGTGGTCGCCTTTCTGCTGCGAATGCGCACCTTTTGACATACGTTTCGCCTTCATTGGCCCCGGGGATGGTGTGTTAGTGGCCCCACGTTAAAGACACTTTGGGGAAAACGTGGTGTGTCTTTAAAGCGGGGTCGACTGTACCCTAGAAACTTCTAGGGGTCAGGTCGGGGGTTCGAAATCCGGCCTAAGCGAGCTCTTGCAAAGTGAGTTGTTCTCTCGCTTCCGCTCCTCGCCTAATGGATAGCGCTAGTTCTTGTGTACACACAGGGAAGAAAAGAGTGCTGATCTCTTCTCGCATCAAAATCGTAGGCCACGTACCGCGGAAGGGGACGGTAGCCATGGGGCTCTTCTGTGTGACCAGAAGTCGGAGTAAACGGCATCAGTGCTCTGAGTGCTGATTTGAAGTGAAGAACAAAAAAAAAAAAACTGGCATGGAGACCATCAGATTTGACCAACTCGTTAGCACTATAAAGTCGTTAACACCACTGAGTTGTACGCAGTGCTTCTCGATTTCTCGGCCATGGTGTTGGGGCCCGACATCGTAGGTTCCAGCTGGAGACACTCACATCAGTAGTGCTCACATCGAAAGTACATTATGTGTGTTTGGTCGTGGTGTCCGGCGGGTGCGATAGGCATCAGCAGGGGCATCTATTTCCCCCTGTTTCCAAGGTGGTTTCCAGAGTATTCATAGTTTTCTCTTCTTTTTTTTTCCCTCTCTTTCTGTGCCAGATGGCCTTGTCTCTGCTCGCGTTGTGAAGTACCAAGGTTGAACCAAGGGGGTGTACCTCATTCTCTCCAGCCCGTGATGGTGACTCCTAATCTCAGTTGTTATACCTCGCATAGCGCGCAGAGGGGGTGGAGGACTCCAGAATATCTGGCGTTGGTTTCTATTGACTTGCGGAGCCCTCGGGGCCAGTTTATTTGAGTTTAGTTTTTTAGGGTAAGTTAGCCTGCGACCACGGGAATCGACCGCGTCGAGTGTTGGATCAGTACGAACATACGAAGGTACTGGGTAGAGAGAGATCGGTACGATTTTTAACGTGAAGACAACAACAACAACAACAACAGCAACACTTGAAGGCAGTGATGGGGAGTGTGTTTTCGTCCAAATTATTATGGCGACAGCAGTCCCCCCATTTTTCATGGTGAGACTACACTTTGTATGTAGAGTGCTACACTTTTTAGTGTTTTTTTTCGTACTACAACCATCCAGGATCACACAGTAGGGCGGCCAAGGCCGCGCTTGCGGCGAACGACGTACCCAACTGATGATGTTGTCGCACCCTGTGTTCCCTTTTCCCTGCCGTAAGCTGTGTGCTCTTAGTATTGCCTCCGGCCTCTCTTTGTGCTTTTCTTCTTTCTTTCTTTCTTGTTCTCCATGCATATATATCGGATTATATATAGGTGTAGTAGTACCTCTTCGGGCTCTTGGATACCTTGTTCTTGCTACGTGTGCGTGTTCTTTAGATCCTCAGATGGCTC